ATTTCTCTCCTGTTAAAGAAGGATAAGGATCCTACTGCCTGCGAGTCCTATAGACCTCTTTCACTTTTGAATGTGGATTTTAAGATTTTGTCTAAAGTACTCGCGACTCGGCTTGAGACAGTTCTCCCTCGGATTATTTCACAACAGAATGGATTCATTAAAGGTCGCCAGTTGTTTTTTAATACTCGTACACTGTTGAATACAATTTTTTCAACTCATTCCTCTAAATCTCCTGAAGTGATAATTTCTCTTGATGCCGAGAAAGCTTTTGATCGAGTGGAATGGGAATATCTCTTTGCTGTTCTTAATGGGTTTGGTTTTGGAGAGAGGTTTGTGTCTTGGATCAAGCTACTTTATACATCCCCTCAAGCATGTATTCTCAGTAATTCCGTCCAATCTGATTATTTTACGGTGGGACGTGGTACTAGACAGGGTTGCCCTCTTTCTCCCCTCTTGTTTGCGTTAGCCATTGAACCCCTTTCCGTTGCTCTAAGATCCCTTTCTTCTTTTCATGGAATCGTCCGCTCTGGTGTCGAGCTTAAATTGTCCTTATATGCAGATGACCTTCTCCTGTATGTCTCTGACCCTTTACGGAGTCTTCCCCCAATTTTAAATATTCTAGAAAAATTTGGATCATATTCTGGCTATAAAATTAACTCACTTAAAAGTGAATGCTATCCAGTGAATTCATTAGCTTTAAAGCTTAAGCCTTCTGATATCCCTTTTAGGCTCAGTCCCTCGGGATTTAGGTACTTAGGAATTAATATTACACGTACTTTGCCCTCAATGTTTTCTCAGAATTATGCCTCACTAGTTTCCCAAATTGCATCAGATTTACAGAGATGGAACTCTCTCCCTCTTTCATTGATTGGTAGGATTAATATTATCAAAATGAATGTGCTACCTAGACTTTTGTTTTTATATCAAAATATCCCTCTGCTCTTGCCCAAACAGTTCTTCAGGTCCCTGGATCAGATGGTCTCATCTTTTTTATGGAACGGAAAGGCCCCCAGAATGAGACTTTCTTTATTACAACAGTTCACCACAAACGGGGGTCTTTCTCTACCTAATTTTACAATGTATTACTGGTCCTCACATATCCATAAACTGACTTATTGGTTAAATTCACCTGATCTGATTTGGTGTAAACTTGAAATTCAGTCAATTTCTGCATCTTTTTCGCCCGCTTCAATTATTTATTCATCATTACCAATTAAATTATCCTCAGTTACTACAAATCCTATAGTGCTCTCAACACTCAGGATCTGGTCACAATTTAGGTCCCACTTTAAATTTGTATCACCCTCTAATAAAATGCCGTTACTAAAGAATCACATTTTTTCTCCAGCATCTAATAATGCTGCCTATAGAATTTGGTATGAGAAAGGTATTAGAACAATGAGAGACCTGTACGAAGATGGTTTATTTCTTAGTTTTTCAGAATTGTCTTCTAAATTTAATCTACCCACTTCACATTTGTTTCTTTACTTCCAAATTAGGCATTGCGTTTCATCGCAGTTTCAAAATTTTCTAACTTTGCCTACTGACCCACCATGGGTTGAACTCTTAGTTTTGAGCCCCAATTTGAAATCTCCTCTTTCAATTATTTATGGAAAACTTATGGCAATAGAGGCCGACTCATCGGGTAAAACTAGAACTGCATGGGAACGTGAACTGGGTGTTAAACTATCAGATTCATGGTGGGATAAAGTTATTCTCAGCATACGTCAGAGTACACCATGTGCCAGACTACAGTTAATACAATTTAAAGTAATAAATAGAGTACACTTCTCAAAAACACGTTTATCTAAAATGTTCCCCTCAATACCAGACCAGTGTGATAGATGTCAGACTTCACCTTGCAACTTAAGTCATATGTTCTTTTTCTGCCCAAAACTGCAAGGGTTTTGGAAATATTTTTTCTCCATACTCTCAGGAGTTTTTAAGATTCAGTTTCAAAGTGATCCACTTATTGCTATTTTTGGAGTTCCTGGGACCACACTTAATCTATCCCGCCAGCAGGGGGAGGTCTTGGCCTTTTGCTCTCTCCTTGCCAGACGTTGTATTTTGCTCGCCTGGAAATCTCCCACACCACCATCCACATCACAATGGCTTAATACTGTAAGATCATACTTGAAGATGGAAAAATTTTTACTAACAGTGAAAGGTAGTTCAAAAAAATTTACCCACAAGTGGACACCCTTTGTGTCATATGTAAAATCTTTACCTTCATAGCGTATAGACTGATATGATTGACTCATCACATTACCATGTGACTTGTTTTTAGAGGATAAATGAAAGACTGAAATACTGTTTTCCTTTTGGTTTGTTGGGTCCCTCCTGTTCGTTCCTCCTCCCCCTCTCTCTCTTTTTTTTTTTTTTTTTTTTTTTTTTTCTCTTTCCTTATTTTGTCTTGTTTTTGGTTAAGGGGGGAAGGGGAGGGAGGGGAAGAGGGGAGGGAGGGGGGAAAGGGGGAAGGAAAAAAAGAAAAAATTGGAGAAGTCATGTAAATTTTGTATAATGTATGTAATGTCAATTATATATTCTCCTGATAAATAAAAATTAAAAAAAAAAAAACAATCCACAAGCCACACCTCCGGAAAAAAGCCCATTAATGTGTATGTGGCTTTTACCGGTGCCATTAATCTCTGGCTTTTTCAAAAGAAAAAAAGGAAAAAAAGAAAAAAAGAGAAAAGGAAAGAACAATTTATTTTAAAATCATGATCAAAGAGTCCCAAAGGACTTAAAAATCCTATTTAAAAGCAAGGTTTCAATTGAAATCATAAAAACCCGATCCTATAGATTACAAGTTCAAACCATGGGGGTTTTTTGTACCCAATAAAGAAATCCACTTTCTTTCCACCTTTTTTCTCTCCCAATCTGCCCAGTAAGAATTTCCTTCAAGGCCAGCCACTCTAAACCATTGAAGGCCATGTGAATTAAAATGATTAATCAACGGAGTGGACTCCTTTCTCCTTTTAATATTGGACCTATGGTTTGCCATCCTGACTGAAATAGAGGTTTTTGTTTCTCCCACATATTGAATGCCACATTTGGAGCAAAAAATCAGATAGACACAATTTCTAGAGTGTTCAGTGAATCTCTGTTTTATTGGAAAAAGGAATTTACTCTGTCTGTTTTTCACAAAGTGTACACCACAAAAGCTGCCTGACAACAAGGTTCGTTTTTTGCTTAAAGATGAGGGAGTTGTCAATCGTGCTTTCACCAGATAGTCCTTTAAATTAGGATTCCTCCTATAGGCTGAAACTACCTTCGTGTCTGGCAATATCCCAGGGTCTAGGATGATCGAGATAAAGTTGTCCTTGATTTTTTTGTTAATTCTTGTGCTGGTCAAGGAGTAGGTAGTGATGAAGGGAATTTTATTTTTTGGTTCTTCAAGGGGCTTTTGTACATGAAAGGTTTTGTAGCACCGTCTCAGAAATTGTCTGGAATATCCTCTGTTTTTCAAGGATTTAAATAAGGTTTTTACTGCCACTTTAAAGTCCTCTTGTCGTGTACAAATACGAAAAAATCGTAGGAGCTGTGATTTAACCAACCCCCGGTAAGTGTGTTTTGGGTGGAAGCTCGTTTTGTACAATAGGGCATGCGTGTCAGTGTTTTTAAAAAATACCTTAACGTCCAATTTATTATTTAATTCAAAGTCCGGTCCCTTGAACACCGTTGTATCCAAGAAATCAATACTCTCACTTTTTAAATTAAATTTACAACGGATCGACGAGTTGTGGGAGTTCAATGTCCCAATAAATCCCTCAAAGTCCGCCGCCGAGTAACTCCACATGCCCCAAATGTCATCGAGATAACGTAAATAAAACAGTGGTTTCTTCAGACACTTTTCAAGAGCCTCAGTTTCCCATTTTGCCATAAATATGTTGGCATAAGATGGGGCAAACCTTTTACCCATGGCCGTCCCCTTGATTTGCAAGTAAAATTCCCCGTTAAATTCAAAGTCGTTTCTCGTAAGATTAATTTCTAAGAGTTTCAAAATCTCCTCATCAGGTCTCTTAGCGTCCGGATATTTTTTGAAAACTTCCTGTACTGCCCGTAATCCTTCACATGTATCAATATTAGTATAGAGACTTTCGATATCGATCGTAAAAAACAAAGAATCGGGTGGTACCGTCAGAGATTTTACCAGCTTCACAAAATGATACGTATCCTTTATATATGATGAATGTTTCACTGAAAGAGGATTGAGATAGAAGTCAATATAGGTAGCGGTGTGGTAGGTCTCACTACCACAATCCGAGACGATAGGTCGTCCAGGAGGAATCTGAAAGGGCACCGTCCATTTCTCTGGCTCCTTGTGGATTTTGGGTAGAATGTAGAACCTCCTAAGCCTAACTTGACCGTCTCCTATCAGGAACTGTCGTTGTTTTTTATTTATGTATTTATGTTCATATAGTCGGTCGAGAATACCACGGACTATTGATCTCGTCGTCATATAAATGGGTTCCTCCAATTTCCTATAATAACTTTGATCATGCAATTGTCTATGAGCCTCTTGGATATATTGATCTCTCGACAGAATTACTACGGCACTCCCCTTGTCTGCTGGTTTAATCACGATGTTGGAATTGTGCATCAAGTCTCTTAAGGCTTTAACTTCCTCGACCGAGAGATTAGGAGGTTTCTTGAGTATTTTGAAGCTAGTTTTCATGACCTCATTGTCCCTAGAAATCAACCTCTTAATCTGAGGCGGTAAGTATTCAAGTTTTGGGATCCAATCTGATTTTCCCAGAAAGGGAAGCCTTTTCCAGACTGAACCTTCAAAGTAGGCAGCCAACATGACATTTCTATGAAATTGTTGAAGATCTAATTGTAACTGGATTTTCTGATTTTTATGCGTGTCCAAAACAGGGACAAAGGTAAGTCCCCTATTCAACAGACTGTACTGAGCCCCTGTCAACTGAAAACCCTCCGCCAAATTGACCACGTTCTGTGAGAGTGGGGAATTAAATCCCATCATCCCCTCCTGGACTAGGCTTAGGGGGGAGTCAAGTTTAAATACAAGATCCAGTGTTCAAACATGGCAATGGCCGTATTACTCGTCCAGTGAATATTGTCTTTCTCCGTTTCAAACTTGGTCTTGTCCAGTTTGGGAATAAAGGGTAATTTCCTACTTATATAGGTATTTATGGTCTGTAAAGTTTCAACTTCCGTTTGGATCAAGGCCCTTGAGTAGTTGATGAGCGGTATCCAAACTTCTGCAAAAGGAAAATGTTTCTTGGCCGCCCTGAAAGCCGCCAGCAGTTGTTTAATAGCAGTTTCTTCTGCGTTTTGGCCCCTGTTATTCAGGCCAAAAGATAGGATAATCTTTTCAACAGTACAGCTAGAAGTTGCCTTTTTCATCAATGCCTCAGCATGTCTTAGATTTGCACCTGGGTAACTGTCTATTTGAAGGTCCCGAATGTAAGACCCATGGATCCGAGACAAATTAGAGTCGCCAAAAAGGAGCCATTTTTTCTCGACGTGCAACGTCCAATCAATCATCTTTCTATCAGTTGTAATATGTTTTCTAATTTTGAAAATCTCTTTAGGAGAAGAGGTTCGTTTCTCCTGGTTGATATCATTGGACCCAGGTGAGGACCATGTGTCGTCATCCATTAAATCCAGCGTAGCCGGTACGCAAACTCTTTTTTCTGGTGTCCTCGACTGGTCTTTGTCAGAGAATAAAAGAGGTGTGTGGTCCCTTCTCACTCCCCCATCAACGTCCAACAGACTTTTCTCTGGAACCAAGGCCCCTGTCTCACCATCTTCCTGTCCAGTTACCAGCTGGACCTCATCAGGTAAGTTGCCAGTTTTATTAACAGACCCTCTACATCGAGGAACTCGTCGGACTCTCTCAGGTAAGTAGTCTTCATCACATAAGGGCCGCAACTCATTATCATCGTGTACCACACAACCCCCTCCATTCCTTAGCCTCTCAGTCCTTTTAGTTTTAGGTGAACCGTCGTGCTGGGCACCTGGTCGGGCCCCATCAGGTAAGTCTTTTGAGTTTTTGTCAAAAAAATTATTTTCGTCATCATCGCGGTCCGCATCCCGATGGATCTGGACCGTTATCACCTGGTCTCTACGTTCAGGCACCCCATGATTGACTGGTTGCAGATTACGAGTTATCCTGATCTGCCCCTTTGGACTCGTCAGTTCACTCAGAACTATAAGATCTCCGTTGTCTTGTGCCGAGATCATGCAGGAGGCCAAAAGGGCCTCCGCATGGTCAATGGCATCTTGAGTTATATGCGGAAGATCTCTAAGGGCCCTCTGTAGAGCTATCTGGAAGATATCTTCCCAGTCTTCGATAAACTCAAGGGATAGATCTTTTGACAGTTCTTCAATTTGTTTCGAGTAGTGCTTCGTCAAGATCAAAAGAGTAGTGTAACCCCAATTTTCTGCATTTCCCATGATAAGATCCAGGGTTTCTGTTGAAGGTACAGCAGGTTTTATCATCATGGTTAAGTTTTTGACCATGCGTACGATCATCTTAGGTTGAGGCTTGCCATCTTTTGGCGTAACATTTTGCAGGTGATGCACCAATCTTATCATTTTATGCATTTTGCGTACCCTGATCCCTGTTTCAGGTTCCACTGGTTTCCGTCGAGGCTCACCACATGACTGTTGTAACCTGTCCTGATGCTGAGAAAAGGGTTCTTGAACCCTCCCGGTTCGTATTGATTCTCTTTGTCTACCCCTGTATGTCACATCCGCATAAGAACGTGAGGGGGAAACAAAGTACTCAAAACCACGGCGTGAGGGAGAGTGATTTCTGTCACGGTGGGCCCTCCAGTTTATTCTCCTCTTAGGTTTATGGGTTGGTTGTGATTTCTTATAATTTCTATTACTGGGGTACCATGTATTCTGTCTTTCCCCTTGTTGCATTTTGTAATTACAGGATTTTTCATAATCAAAGTCCATTTCTGGAGGATTATCAAAATCTCTTGTTTGGTGAAAGTCTTTATGAAATCTAGGACTCGTGTATGGGACCAAAAAGTCCGGAGGAGGCACAGGCCAGTTAGGTTTGTGTGACTGAATCCTCCCCTCATGAGGGAAGGTGGGTGCACGGTCCATCCTCCGTCTCCAAGGCCCATCATTTTGTCGAGAAGTCTGTGGGTGACGTTTTTTACGTCTCCCATAATAGACTGTGGTCCAGTCTGTATTATGATGCAAATCCCCCATAAGATAGGAGTCAGGAGATGTAAGTATTTACTACAAATCACTATAAAAAGTCTTATTTTTAAAAAAATAATAAAATCCTTTTTCAAAAAATTTTTTTCTAAAAAAATGTTTTTTTAGGAGTTTTTCATTTTAAAAGACAAGAAATAAAACATAAAAAGTGTGCCGTCGCGACGTTTCGGCTCTCTGAGCCTTCCTCAGGCAAAAGGCACACAAATGTAAAACAAGGCAGATAGATGTTGCTCCACTGACGTCTCATGGAGCACTGATTTATGTTCTGCCATGCCTCCTATTTATACCTAGTAGACCCCGCCCACAGACATGCCCCTTGGTCCTACTGTGGCTTTTCATTGGTTGTTTCAACTTGCACAATATGTAGGCTGTTATCAGTCTTTAGGGTTTGTCATTTTTACTGCAAAATGTAAGGCTTTAAGGAGAAGAAAAATAAATCTTGTGAATGGTTAAGGTCTGAGGTTAAATTCAGGCCATGTCTTAGTTAAAACAATCCACAAGCCACACCTCCGGCAAAAAAGCCCATTAATGTCTATGTGGCTTTTACCGGTGCCATTAATGTCTGGCTTTATCAAAAGAAAAAAAAGGGGAAAAAAAGGAAAAGAGAAAAGGAAAGAACAATTTATTTAAAAATCATGATCGAAGAGTCCCAAATGACTTAAAAATCCTATTTAAAAGCAAGGTTTCAATTAAAATCGTAAAAACATGATCCTATAGATTACAAGTTCAAACCATGGGGGTTTTTTGTACCCAA